TGATAAACACCAAGGCTGAATTTGATTTTTTCAATACTTTGGGCATAACACTGACGAATGTATTTGATATATGATTGATTGATAACACCGACTTGATTGTTGGTAATAGAGGAGGCTGTGATGTTGCGCACAAGGTTTTTCGTGATTTTGAGTCATGCTACCTGAGAAATCTAGCATCGAAGCGGATTGATTCCGGGGCGAATCCATGGGCTTCCTAGGTTGTGAAGTAAGGATACACAGTGTGGTTCCTTTTGTGGAAAGTGTGCAGTTGCCAAAAAATGAGTCGACTATTTGGAAGTCCGATAAAATAGAATTCCTGAATGGCCAGACTTTTAACCCGTGGGGGAGCAAAGCACAAAAAAATATCTTAGTAGCAAGTCATCTTCATAGGATCGACAAAAATACCTCTGCGTGATCGAAAATGCCAAGGGAGTAATAACTCTGACGAAGGAACTGCGCTTGAAGTTGCTTTCAAATAAAATTTTCAATCATGTGTTGAGAAACATGGTCGGGATGAGCCCTTACAATGAACTTGTTTCTTGTTTATTTTAGCGCAATAAGGTTTAGTTTTTTTATCGAGAGGGTGACAAGGTGTTTTTATGAGTGACAGGTTTTTTGCAATGTGTGTGTTTCGACATGTAGTAGTGTTGTTTTCAGTTTTTTTGTTTGTCTATGGCCTACCGCGTGTAGGAGTGGTCTGTTCCATGTGTAGTATCCTTAAGCCCAGAGACGTTATTTTTTCATTTGTTTGGTCTTCTTCAACTCGGGACTCAATTGTGTGTTTTTGATTTTGAGTTTGGCTCCGAGTAGGTTGGTCTCAGTAAGTTCCTATGAGAGTCTACTTGACTGATATATCTAGAATGGTTGAGTAGTAATAATCCTCTCTGTATGTTTGCGGGGTTTCTTGAACGCACATGGCAGACCACAGGGTGTTGTGGACGGAACGACAATGTGCTTAATGTGCTATTTTTATCAATCATTCTTCTTACACTTGTGTTCCTTTGTAAGCATGTCATGTAATGTGTGTAAGCATGCCATGATTTTGCCTTGAAATGTTCTGCGTAATACCAACTTAGTTGCATGAGAACTAATATATTATCATTTAATACATTTAAAATAGTGGTGTGTCATGAAAAATGAGGTAATTCGAAATAATATTTTGGGATAATATTACGTTATTGAAAGTAAAAAAAAAAAAAATAAATTGAATTGAATCTCAAAGTTATTCACGGAATAAAAATATAATTCAAACCTTGCTAATATTATTCAAATTTTTAAAATGATGATGTTATTATAACCTTAAAAATAAATTATCATCTACTTTATATTAGCGAGGTTCAAGAATTTAATTTATACTTATTAATAACATCATCGTCAATTTAAAGTTTTGTCAAATACGATACTTTCACACTTAAGAAACAAATACGATCAAAATTATTTTTTGTAGATGAAAACAAATTAATTTTTTCTTGTAGGTCAATGATACTTTCACACTTAAGCAACAAATACGATGTTAACTGTATCGTCGATCACTTAACTTTCAAAATGAAATAAATAGATTACACATATAATATCAAATCGGAAGTAGTGTAATACGATTATGTCAAATTCAATATCATCGACTCGTTGCAGATCTTGTATTATTTTTCTACATTACATCTTTGTATAAACGCATCTATTGTTGTGTCTCTTTCCTTTTTCAAACATTTTAGGGGAAAAAAAAAGAAAACGTATGTTCGAGTAAACTGAGTCTACGTCTCACAAAAATAGTCAAGCAATTAATTTCCTTTTAGTGGTTTATGTATACAATGTTTATCATTCGGTAGCACCTCATACATATATGTATTCCGAAGTACGTATATGTGCTAAAAACAACGAGTATGTGTATATAAAAACAATTATGGGAAAAATATATTATACATGATCATAATATCTGACGTTTGGTCGAGACCGAACGGCCAAACCAAAACGCTTGAACATTTGAGCCCCCTATAAACATGTTCGACCTTTCAAACTGAATGTGGAAAGAAACAAATATATATATCACGACCGAACGCGAACAAACGCCAAAACCTTCCGAACAGGAACATAAAAATTATTAAAAAAAAAAACAAAGTCTTCAAAAAAATCTGAAAAATATATATGTTATGTTAAATAATAATACAAACAACATTTGCTTGGGAGGTCGACTCAAATTCGTAACCAAAGTTAAGTCAAAAATAAAAAACCAAAATATATATATATATATATAAAGGGTTACCGGCGTTCGGGACAGGCCGAACGCTCGAACCCGAACGCCTGAACGTACGGGACCCTTCGGCAGGCGTTCGACCGTTCAAGCAAACCGCGAACCCC